TTCAACTCCCAGAATTCCTCAGCCAGCAAAGCTGGCTGAGGAATTCTGGGAGTTGAAGTCCACAAGTCTTAAAGTTGCCAAGGTTGGACACCCCTGGTTTAAAAGGAGAGGAAGAAAAAACAAGAGAAGTCCAGTTGCCTCCGGAAAAAGTTCCTTTAGGATATGAACTGCTTGTGGGAAAGGACTTGTTCCACCATTAACAGAATCTCTCATTTCTACGAACAGTTATTTTCGAATGTTCTATTGCTGATAATATTTTTTTTTCTTCAGGCTTATATACAAATCACTTACGTTGAGCCCTACTTTGATACTTACGAAATGAAGGACAGGATAACCTATTTTGACAAAAACTACAATTTGCGCCGATTCATGTATTGCACCCCGTTCACGTTGGATGGCAGAGCTCATGGGGAGTTGCACGAACAGTTCAAAAGGAAGACTATCTTGACAACATCACATGCTTTTCCTTACATTAAGACAAGGATAAATGTCATTCATAAGGAAGAAGTAAGTCTTGCACTTCCATTATACTCTGCCTTGAAGAGAGATGAAGGGGCTGGAGGATAAAGGATATGATGGACAATGTGCTTAGGGCAATATTTTCACACAGTTCAGTTTTAATTTGTAACATTCAAAAACGTTCAAGTTATTTTTAATTTGATAGCATTTCACAAGCCTTTGAGAAAACAGCCTATGCTTTGCTCGTCAAAAAATTCTGCTCCTGCTGCTACTATTATTAACATAGTTATTAACATGTTGAATAAACAAGGATCCTGAATTTATAGAATGTTATAATTTAAAATATGGTAAAGGGGATGAAATAGAAGAAAAAGTGAAGTGAAAAATTGCACTGTATCTGTTCCAGTCTTAAATTAAATTAATGGCCCATAGTTCAATTTCATTCCTTAAAAAAACATAATTGAAAGTTGGATAAAGGACTAACGCCGTGCAATCTTCAGAGGGAAACATTTTTTTCTCCACAAAACATAGGTATTTCATCTGCAATGGGAATCTCTCTACCATTTTGCTTTGTAGTTCTCAGGATTAAAAATATATATCCCTACAAATCAAAGTATGTTTCTCAAAATACTATTTCGTGTATTGACTTACGTAGTATCCATCTTTCACAAATAAAAGCTTTTTTTTGCTTTATGACCATTATCATAATCCGAGAGTTGTGAACGGATTAGATCCAGAGATCACACTAAGTAATGTTTTTGTTTATAGTTTTGGCTTTGGATTTGTACTACATACAAATCCATATACTGTGTGCTTTATAAACCATGATTTGGATTTCGTGCATGAACCCAGATAACTATGGAATATAGGTAGTCCTCAACTTACAATCACAATTGAGTCCAAAATTTCTGTTGTTAAGCGCAACATTTGTTAAGTGAGTTTTGCCCCATTTTATGACTCTTCTTGCCACAGTGGTTCAGTGAATCACTGCAGTTGATAACACAGTTGTTAAGTGAATCTGCTTCCCCATTGACTTTGGATGTCCGAAGGTCTCAAAAGGTGATCACTTGACCGCGGGACCCATCAAAAATATGAATCAGTTGCCAAGCATCTGAATTTTGATCACATGATCAGGGATGCTGCAAAGGTTGTAACTATGAAAAACAATCATAAGCCACATTTTTCAATGTGATTGTTACCTTGAACAGTCACTTAATGAAGTGTAAGTCGAGGACTACCTGTATTCTGGAAACTGTGGTTAAAATAAACCACAATTGAACATAGTGTGCGAATCTTGGCATCATCAATTAGTAATTAGAGTCTCTGGCCTACTAAGTCACCCAGGATATTTTTCAGATTGTTCAGGTTTTCTTGTGCAGAAAGCTAGTATATAGGGCATTAGAAAATTAGCTGAAACGTGAGCTGGGCTCCTAGGACATTTGGCAGTAGTGATCACCTGTTTAGGTACAATTGCTTGGTATCCTTCCGCCCTATTTTTTTTAGTAATACTCTGCAGTGAGTAATGGGGTGGGAGGGAAATCCAAAAGTTTTCTTCCCCTTATTTGGAAAATAAAATTCCTTTCAATTCCTGAATGCTTTTGCACATCTCTTGGGTCTTTATTTTGTCAGATAATTTTGACACCAATTGAAGTTGCCATTGAGGACATGCAGAAAAAAACCCAAGAATTGGCTTTTGCAACCCATCAAGATCCAGCAGACCCAAAAATGCTCCAGATGGTGCTTCAGGGTTCAGTGGGCACCACTGTAAATCAGGTAAGAATATAGACTATCATAATGGGTTCTTAAGCACAATGGGTTGGATATTTGAAAGTTAGAGTACATTGTTAAATACAGCTGTATTTTAATGGCTACGGGGTAGATTTTAAAAGGCATGCCATAGTAGATCATTAGAATAATGGAACAAGGTATAAAATGGATGATTGGACCATCATTTAGATCTGTCAAATGTATTATGTAGAGAAACTGTAACTTAATGTGTGGGACAGAAATGAGTGGAAAGTGCTATTGAATATGTTTGAGCACAAGCTAGAAATTTGAATTTATTTTCCCATAATCATTTGCAGATGTAATACAGGTAGCATTACCAGACAATTTTAGCACAGTTCAGATTTCTTCCTGCTAGCATATATGAAGGTGAAAAGAATGGATAATTTTCTATTGTAGCATGGTTTACATTCTGGCCCCTGAATTGATAAGAAACAAGAATACACAATTATTATGCTTGGCAAAAGGGGAGGTAAAATTTCAACTCCATTTGACTCTAAAGAGCCACAATCATCCAAGATCCAGATGGCCTCCACTGAGAAGACCTGGTCCTTTGTCCAGGTCTTTGGCAAGAAAGAGTGAGACCTCTCACTTCATTGTGCTTGTAATTTTTTATTTTATTGTAATTTGATTGCTGTGACCTGCCCAGTATCTTTGAGACTTGGGCAATATATACAGATCAACCAAAAGATGAATTCAATGTGCGACTCTGGGAGTTGAAGTCCACAGGTCATAAAAGAGTCATACTGGCAGTTGCCCAGCCCTGCTGAAATGAGAAGTAGGGCCAGTAACATAACTAAGAAGTGTCTTTATGAATTAATCTGTGGTTTGTATTCTGAAGTTTTATTGATTTTTGCAATATTGTAGATAGTTCAAGGTTGTAACTTTATGTTGCTTAGTGTCATACAACTGAAGCAGCATAATTTTAAATAAACACCAACACCTCAAATTAGTCCAAAAATACTCTCCTACAATATATCAAAGGCAATTTACTCCTTTCATTGTGATGCAGTTTTTGTGTTAGTGTGATGACCCAGGAAACAGCACACACATAATACATTTCCAAACGTAAATAAATTTCCTTTATTGCCTCCAACTTAGCTTCACTGTTCAATTGTTCGCAGTTGGAGATTAAACTCTTTCCAAAATAATATTCCAAAAGAAAGAAATAAAGTCCAAACTCAAAGAGCAGATAACGGAACAATAAAAAAACAAACACAAACAGCACTGAAGAAAGTTCCACGACAGACCAGGATAATTAATTACGAACTTCAAGAAGATAACAAGGCACCGTCCTTGGAAGAACCAAGCAAGATAAAAACTTCACCCAGGAATAAAACACACTTTGCTTCTGGCAACGTTGTGTTCGAAACACCCCTCCTTTATACTAGTCTCCCCAGCTGCAACCAATGAGGAGGATCATGGCCGCGTCCTCTCTCGCAACCCAAGTTTTGCCTTCTGCATTCCTCCCTGTGTGTCCTATGATGCAGAAGGGATGGGCCTGGTTCTTCCTCTGACTGCCCAGCCGGCCTCTGCTCTTCCCCAGCCTCCTCCACAACTTCTGGAGCCACACTTCCACTCACTGTTGGCTGTTCCTCCTCTTCCTCAGAGTCCGACTCTACCAAGAGCATTACAGTTAGGCTGTCTAGGGGCTTTTGGTGTATAATGTTAAAGAAATCTTACATTTTGTGTCCATAACATTATTCTGTCCTCTTTTTCTGTTAAGGGGCCGCTGGAGGTTGCCCAAGTATTTTTATCTGAAATACCCAATGATCCTAAACTCTTCCGCCACCATAACAAACTAAGGCTTTGTTTCAAAGACTTTACAAAAAGGTATTATGTCATTTCTTGTAAAGACCTGTACGTTTTTCTCCTGAGTTAGCCAAAAGAGAAAATCTTTTGAGTGCTTATTGCTATGTCTCTTATGTTATTTGAGTACCTTTTTCAGTCTAATGGATAGGAGATACTTTCTTAATACAATTTTGAGAAATCACTGAAATGTTACCCTTTTTTTTAATTAAAAAGCACAGTTCATTCTTATATTTGAGTCAACTGCTACCTATTTACATTTGTAAAATGCTGTGGAGGCCAGACATATAGCATAGACAGTACATTGGTTTCATTTTTTTCAAAAAAAGTTGCCCGTATTAGAAAAAAGATGTCTAGAATTACTCGGGAGCAACTGTGCCAAAATATAGAGAAACTATAATATTGAAAAACCAGCTTCAGCAGTACAGTATAATTACCCCCCAAAAAGCAAGCTGCATTGATTTTATGTGACATGGACTTTCAAACAGGCATAGATAGCATTATCGAGGAAGCTTAAGGATGAACAAAGATAAATTGACAAAATGTTTAATTATTATCTAATAGGTTTATGATCATTTGCTCACTCAAAATGCATTGTACTGTGTTCTAGGTGTGAGGACGCACTACGCAAAAACAAAAGCTTGATTGGTCCAGACCAAAAAGAGTATCAACGGGAACTTGAAAGAAATTATCATCGTCTCAAGGAAGCCCTTCAGCCCTTGATAAATAGAAAAATACCCCAATTATACAAGGCTGTTCTACCTGCTGCTTGTCACAGGTCATTCTAATATAACATTCACATTTTTCCCCAAAGGCCTCCTGAATGGAAAAAAAAACCTACTATGACTATACCTAATGTAACCTATTGGATACGATGGTGCCATTTTCCATATAGGTAGTCCTTGACTTACAGCCACAATTTCTATTGCTAAGCAAGTCAGTTGTTAACTGAGTCACACCCAATTTTACGATCTCTTAAGTGAATCCCTGCTGTTGTTAAGTGAACCATGTGATTGTTAAGCTTTGCTTGTTGAAAGCCTACTGGGAAGGTCACAAAAGGTGATCGATCACATGACCCCAGGACATGACCCCATAAATATATGCCAGTTGCTAAGCGCCCAAATTTTGATCACACGACTATAGGGATGCCGTGGAGATCATAAGTGCGAGGAACAACTGTAAGTCACTTTTTTCAGTGCTGTTATGATTTTGAACAGTCCTGGAACAGAAGATAGTTAAATCTAGGATTACCTGTATTACATTTTGCCTGGCTCAAAGCCTGGCCATCTTTCCCCATCTATTCTGGGTAAAGAGTAAGAGATTCCACAACTTGACAAAGTGAGGTCCTCCTCAAAACTTCCTGCTGACTTCCAACAATCAAACTTAGTGAGAAAGTTGGCAGGAAGTTACAAGTCCCAGTGGCTCACCAATAGACCAGCGGACATGTAAGTGGCTGCCGGCAGGTGGGAGAGGGAACCTGGGAGTGTGCAGATGGCTGGGGTGGTGCAAGTGCAGCACGCACTTGAGAAGGGTATGTTTGGGAAGGGGGCTGAGGGTGTCAGAGAGGCCAGGGAGGTGCAGCATGAGTGCAGAGCGGCTAGGGTAGGGTACAAAGGTGAGAGTGACTAGTGACTCTCCCTATCAACTTGTCCATTGACTTTCCTTGTGGGAAACTGGCAGAGAAGGTTGCAGAAGACAATCACATGATGTGGGACACTGCAGTAGTCATTAAGCATGAGCTGGTGGCAAGGACCCGGATTGTGATCATGTGACCTCAGGTGGTGAGACAGTCAGAACTTCAAGTACTGGTCCTAATTACTACTTATTCAGTGCCGTAGGAACTTCGAAATGTTGTTGAACATTTGATCCTTAACCAAGGGCTACCTGTATTGCATTCGTTGGGAGAAATTGTTCTACAACACCTTGTGCAACGGATTTTTATCCAATTGGCAAGAAATAAACTTCTGTTGTTTAAGTTGTAGTAGCTCATTTCATGTTTTTTTCCACTCTCCAGAGATTCCTTCAGCAGAATGAGCCTTCGCAAAATGGACATATAAGCACCTCAGGCACTTAAAGAGGTTTAAGGTACTGAAAAAGCAGGTTCAGTGTTATCAATACCAGAAAATTTGTGGAATTTGCTCTGGGCAGCTAACACGTGTTCTTTTGACTTGCATGAGAGCATTAAGTGGCCAAATCTTTTCTCCTGGAAAATGTAGTTTTAAAAAGTCTGTTTTTGTAAAATCTATTACAACAGTATGAAAGTATTTTTAAAACTTTTTCTTTTTTTTTTAATATCCAAAGGTACTCTAAATTCATCAACCTTATTTATAGCATTCTGCAATGTGATTTTTTTTCCCAGTTTGTATATTTAATTTATAATAGCATTTGAAAAAGCAAACAATTTTTAATATAGTGTTTGTTTATATTAATGGTACTATTAAATATTTGAAAGTTTCCACTTTATTTCATGCTTTTTCTATTCATTGCCATGTGCAAACAGAGATTTTTTAAAATTATGAACAGGTATTGCTGAAAGGAATGCTTTCTATAATAAATTTACTCATTTTATATTTGCATGATTATTACATGTGAGCTTAAAATTATTAGGGTAGATTGGAACATTGTTTTTAGTATTAATTTGTACTTTCTAATATTGTTTGGGGCCACTATAAATAAAACAGAAGGTCTGACTAATAGGTAAGACACAATTTACAAATATATCTTATCCCCCATCTCTGCTAAAGTGTTTATACTAGGACACCAGATTGAAAGGATGGTGTGAATTTTAAAGTAACATTTTAAGATATAATCATATACTGTCATACTATATCCATCTATTTTATTTACATATTTGAATGTTCACATTCTGGTTATTTTTCTTCACTGTAAAGTTATCCACTTTTATTTGTAATGATTGGACAACTTTCTTGGCTACTTTCCAAGTGCCTCTTCTATATGGACACAGGGAGGAAATTATCTGAAATGTTTTCCATGCAGTTTCTGGCCTGATCTAACACATTTGAAAGTAAATTTTCTTGTGCCATTGTTTTTCCTTAGCACCATATCTGGTATCATATTTTTTATTATGGTGTTATGGTACTAATGGACATTTTCATCCTTCTTTTAGATAAATTGTCTCCAACATTCTGTTGAGTTGGAAAAGAAATTATCTCCATGATTACAGTAAGCTTGATGGAATTCAATAAGAGTTCTATTACCAACATGATCTACCACTGAAATTTGATGACAAATTCTCATCAAATTCAAAAAGTGGTTCAGAAACCCAAATCACAGGTTTGGCACCTTTTAACTTGCCTTATCTATTGGGGCATGTCTCCGCCAGTTTTGAATGCAAAGCCCTTTATTTTGATTGATCATCAATCAATACAAATGCATTCTATAAAACAAACAAGAAAAATTGTCCCCCTAATATCAAAAATTGCAGAGGCTCACATCATTAGAATACTAGGTTGGCAATTTGCAAGCCCATGTTCGAAGCCCGAGTGCTGCTCTGTTATAGGATGAGCTCGTCATTCATTCCAGGTCCTGCTGACCTAGCAGTTTAAAAGTGTGTGAATATGAGTAAATAGGTATCATTTCAATGGGCTCATTAATGGGGACATGAGAGGAGCCCCCAACTGGGCAACCCCCCCCCCCCCCCCCAGCAATGGTAATGTCACTGGCTGATCCTTTCACTTCAGTGCTTCCAACACTGACGTATAGTACCATTTGTGGGAGAAGCTTACATATAATGTAGCAAAATTTGTTACTTTTAGAGAAATATGTTTATCTTGATTGTTTAGGTAATCAACTGGTGAATGTCTTTATAAAACTGACAATACAAAAGCTAGGCTATGGTTTCTATCGCAACTGAATTGAAGGGCCAATATTGGGTTTCCTATGGGGTTTTCTATTTCCCTTCCAAAACAGCTGTGGAAAGAGCATTAAATAATAAAATCAATTTGAAGCATGCCATCACTAACCATTAACTATGATCAAATAAATCATTGAAAGAGAAATATAGCCAATAATATGGAAGTCAGCCAATGATACAACTATCATTGTAATACCCATAATATGCTGTACATTGGCTGTACTGAAAGAGAGGAGCATCTTGTTTTCAACCTCAATTAGAACACTTACAAAAAATGTTCATGGAATAAAGGAAGAACATGTTAAGAATGTGAGGTTTTCAAATGTGAAATGAAATCTCAAATCATACACAAAGTTTCCTTTTTTTTAATAAAAAGCATGTTTCTTTTAACACCAGCTACAATTTTTTGCAAGATTGTGAATACATGCAACTTTATTTTTTAAAAAATAATATATTTACTGTACAAGTAGTGCGATGAAGCTAGAATCATTGTTATATAGTGCTTGCTCTTAAGACATTATTTATTCAACAGAATATATACAGACTTGTATTCTAAAACAATTTGTATAACATCTACAAATTGAATTATTGCCTTTAAAAAACACATGTGCATTTTTATAGAATGAAAATAATTGTAACAGGTATCTACAAAATTGCCGTTGTATGCTTTTCAAAAACTATCATTTGCATATCAAAATACAACCTCACTCTACAATTTTCTTATAAAATAGCAAATAAGGAGTAGATGTAGATGATGAAATTGGAGACAACAAATTAAGAAAATCTCTTTCCTCTATAAGTTTAACCTCTGAATCATCAAAAAGTAGCCACTTGTCTTTATACTGTTTTAGGGAATGCATCACACGCACTGCTTCATTGTCTAATCCAGTGGATGTAGTGCCAGTTTGTTCACACTCTTCAAATGTCATGATTGCTTTAGGACAGTTCCATTCGGCATTTCTTGCTTCACCCATCACATGAGCAATTTTCTCAGAATGGGCTACTTTGTTATTTGGCAAATCACAGTTGGACTTGCTTTTCTGTCCGCCCAGAAGACCCACACCTTCCATGTTCTTTTTGTTCAGTCCTTTGTTAGGTTGAGTGCTTTCTCCAATTGTAAAAGAGACCTCACCATCATCATAGTCCTCAGTGACAGCTTCTTGTTCATTTAGTGGCTCTGGGCAAAATTTACAAAGAGCATCACTGCTGAAATTATCATTGTCTATTTGCAAGCTGTCGAGATCTGTGAGTTTCACTGAGGCCGTGTAGTGGCCGCTGCTGATAGTAATTCCACTGTGCATCACGATGGCAAATAATCCATAGATTTCATTGGCTGGGTTTATGCTCCAGTCATCCAAGGACAGTTTGAGAGGTGTCTGCAAAGGAGTATTTATTTTGGAGAGCCCACCATAAGAATCAAACCTTTTGGAGAAGATGATAACATATAAAGTTAAGAGCACTGCTTTCCATTACAATCATTTTAAAGATGTAAACAAATATTTTAATTATATTTTAAAATTAACATACTATATTTTCTGATTTTTCTTATAATCATCAGCCAAAAAGATGGCAAGAATTTTTTTTGCAACAGATAGGCTCACTGTTGCTGACTTTGAGATCTCTAAAATCATATCAAATCCATGATTAAATAGCTTCTTGGTTTAACTTTTATCTTTATGCTATTATGAAAGGCATTATTTTGGCTATATTTTAAAAAGTCCACTAGACTGGATATCACCTTTACAAAAGGATGGATTTAAGGATTTGTGAACTTTTTTTGCCAGATACCAAGAGTGCAGGGCCCAATTATCTTATGTCTTGCAGCCACATAGATCTTTCAAGCGTTCATAATAAGCAATCAAAGGTAAGAATCTTATCTGATCAGCCATATTTCAAATATACTAATTTCAGATACTACATATGTTCAAATAAGTACTGAATCTTTAAATTCTACTTAATTTTTCCAGCATACTGCTGAAATTATATGCAATATACCATTACAAATGGACAAATGTTTTCACCACTAAACGCAATCTGATCAATTGTAGGAGTTAAAAAATAATTTTAGATATCTCTCCAATTACATAATTTTGAGAAAGTTATATGAGCATATGGATTATCCATGATCAGACTTTTGAGAAAGTTATGAGCATATGGATTATCCATGATCACAGACTTCCCATTAAATAAAGAACATAATCAGTACAGGTTTACAGGTAAACCTGCATGACCTACTGGGAGTGTGTGTGTGTGTGTGTGTGTGTATGTGTATGCATACTCATTCAGGTTGTACTCATTCATTCGTTCAATTTATATAGCTGCCCATTTTACATCATGACTCTGAGTGGCGCACATTTTAGCTAGCACTTTTCTGCTAAGCCATCAAGGGTGATGAGTAGTAGAGAGTAGAATAGTATAAAGAAAATTCATTCAGTTAATTGTACCAAACTGTTTTAAATCATACTATCAAATGAAGTTGTACTTATATGCAGAATTATCTTAAAATAAAAATTGGAGAACAGAACTTACATATTGAATAAAACCTTACAATTTACCCCTCTAAATTTATGGGGCTCTATTTTTCATTCAATGTTTATTAAACATTAATGTCTGAATAATGTTCAATAGAACACTTTTTTCATTTTTTCATTAGTCTACATTTTAATTGGTTTCCAGTAATTCAGATTTTTTTTTCATACTATTTATGCCCTATACTCACTCTAAGCCATTTGCAGCAAAGCACTTCAGGTGAATTGTTACAACTTCAGGCATTTTATCAAATAAAAGACTGCGTTCTGCTTCTGTGTAATGGAGGCAATTTTCACAAAAGTATTTATCTTCTCCCACAATCCTCTCTATGGAAGCAAACTGTGAAATTGCCCATTTCAAAGTCTTTACTTCCATTTTGGGCTCTGGGGAAACTGTAAAAGATAACACTAATTAATTCAACAATATTTAATACTGTTCTGCAAGCATAAAGAGAAATTGCTGTTAATTATAGTAGCAGTAAAAATTGGAAAAACAAATTACTTGTAAGAGCACAAGGTAAGGAATAACAATGTTAAGTACAAACATTGGGTCTTATATTTTGGTCTTACAGAATTTCCAGGTCAAGTTTATGTCCTCAGCTTATTAATATTGGGTCAAAGAATGCCATAATTTAAGATAGAGAAGAATCAGTAATGTCCATTATGTATCACATCATCATTGCACTGGCAGCATTAATATAGACACTTTAACTACATTTATAGTAGGATTTAAAAATATATTGAGGGCGGGGGGGAGGGAAACATTTTGCTACTGAGAAACTGTCATACATTTGGGGCAAATCCAATTCAGGTTTCCCTTCTCCTAGTTCAGTCACTATACCAAACTAGCTTGTGTAGCAGGTTATTAAAACTGTACTGAAAAAAAAAATCCTAAAATTTTTTCTTCTGAACTAAGCAATGTATACAACATTCCAGTAATATGTGTTTATCATAAGCATACAAGATGGAGTTATGTATCTTTCTTTATGGTGTAATACAATAGAATAGGATAAAACCCCCTAAATTGAACAAAGACTCAGATTGCTTATGTACATTATCTCATAGACAATGAGCATGACAAAAATATTTAGACAAAAAATAGAAGTGGTTCTAGAATTTATGACATCAATGACATTTATTGAATTTTCCTCCCAAAAGTTGTAAAGTTAATCCCATAACAATCATTGTGCTTCACTAGAGAATCTAAACTACTTTTCATTCATAGTGTCCATTGGAATACTCTTTAACAACACCTGCTATCCAATAAGGTTCTACTATAAATCATGAACATAAAGCCAGCTATCTTTACTTTGGAGGTTCTACTTACTTTCAGCATTCTCCTCTACTTTTAAGAGCTCATCTTTTTGAACGGGTACACTGATATCTTGAAAATCTTCTCTTCTCTCAGTAAAGCACTCACATTCTAAACATCGGGTTCGTAAGACCAATTGACCTTGGAAAAGTCTCTCCACTAAATTGAAGATAGCCAATTCTGTACAAAAAAAAAAAACTGTAAGTGAAATACTTTCAATGTATTTTGTTTACAAAAAAAGTTTCTGATTATGTTTTTAAAAATTCCTTGATATTTTATCAATGAGTCTGAATAACTGAAGTAAAAATGAAAATGATTGAAGCAGAACAGTTGGAAGACTTCATATGTCCATGACCATCTTACTCTACTCCATAACAAATTTTAATTAAACATTTCAGGTATGACACTGGAACACAATTATGCTAAAAATATTAAAAAGTTATATTTATGTTGGCGGAGCATACATATGGAAAGATTAACCATGCTTGAAATACTCATAGGAAAACTGCATCTTACTTGAAAGTAAACACATGTGCAGAGATAAGAAACCTAGATACCTGGTTTACTTTGCCTTTTCTTATAGCTTATAATCAGTTATAAACTTTTACTATTAAACTTGATGGCACAGAAGGATATTCAGATCATTAGAGAAGCAAAGTTGGTAAAATTCCCATTCTCCCATGTAATGGGTATA